TTTCTTTTTGGCGTTGACTTGACCAGACCATGCATTCGAACTGGGCCATCAGCTCCAGGGCTGGTCCGGAGCCAGCTGGGGACAGAGCGACCAAACCCGGCCCGGTGACAGTATGCTTCCCCTCGTCACGGGGCCGCGGCTACCGTCCCCGGGTCGGGTTCAGTCGCTCCATCCCAAGCTGGCTTCCTCAACCTGTCCGCCCGTGTTCCCGGACCAGTCCTGAATCCAGCCCCGGACCTGAGGGCTCGGTTCTGCTGTACTGTATTCGACCAGAATCGCGTACGATTTTGAAATTCCCCCCGGACATTTTTTTTTTTAGGAATGAAATGTAGGACATGTCTGGGGAAAAAGAGCACATCTTGTCACCCTATAATAACCTGTTTCATAGAAGTCACAGGTAAACTGCTGCTTTAGGTGTGAATGTATCATTATTTTGTTGTTGGCTCGTTTCATTAGCACTCGGTCTCAGCTTGTTTCGTTCTCGGTCTGAACATCTGAACACCTCGACAGACAGCATGCGCATTCATGTGTTTTGAAGGCATGGTTTCGAGGGGTGGTCTGAAGGGAGAGGCATGGTTGTATGTTCAAAAATATAGCTTGCGGGTACAGTTTTTCCAAGATCTCCTACGGCCACTTTAATGCCTTTGGTCTATTGCACTGAAGCTACTTTTACTAGACTGCCGGAAAACGGCAAAAAAGAAAATGGTGGCCGATGCATGTCCTAAAGCTCCTATTGGAAATAATAGAGCCACTGGAATTTATATCTGGGAAATCAAAGTAGCATAGTTTCAGTTTACCTCATCCTGCAAATAGTCTGTCAATTACTGCCAACTGTGATTGACAGACTACTGGTCTGTGGATTATCAAGAGGGCAGGATTGTTTTGGCGGAAGGTTCGTGAGCCCGTTTGGCTGTGGCCAGTTTGTCGGAAGCATCTTGCTAACCTGTTAGCAGCTTACTGCTAGTAGGTTCCCAATGGGAAGTTACATTGGGACCAAGTAGCACTTAACAACACTGTCAAGGAACGCTATGGACAGTGGAAACATGCAAGAGGAGGAGAGTTTTGTGTTGGAGGTCGTGGATGAGTCTCCCATCATATATTTTTTTATCTAGAGGTGGAAGGCGGGGACGAAGATGTTGTGGAAGGGGACGCCAGGGTGGCAGAGGCTTCGTTTGGTGCAGAAGGCTTACAGCCGTATATATTTGAGCCCTTGCCTCGCATGGCTGCCAGTTTTGTTAGCTATACGCCTGCCGAAGACACAGACGTCCATCCACGTGAACACAGAGACGTAGCTCAATGGTAAAGTAATAAAGAATACATTATTTTTATTTCAACTGTTGCGAATATTAGCTGCGACATATGAATCAAGATGCTATGACCGTAAAAAAATGTGATTGACAGATGACCGTTGATATGATTGGCCAAATTTGGGTGTACAAGTTGACGTATAACCAACTTGACTGCATAAGATAATGAAAAAAAAAAACCCATAGATTTATTTTTATATAGAAAATTTCTAAATTTTGGGACAATATCGTCGACTTTAAAGGACTGGCTAATCAGACTTCTGTATGGATCGAAATAGTCTAAACTTCTCAATAAAATGTTATTCCTTGAAGATATAATAATAATAATAATAATAATTCTTTTGGAAGAGTTCAAAGAGCATTTTCACATGGACCATTCTTTTAAAAAAAAAATAAAACATATTTAAATACATCCAGTGTCTGGTGCTGCAGGTTTTTATGTTCCATAAAAAAATTGAATTGTTTTATTTACTTGATTCTGAGTGTAGTGCAGTTCTAGGCTTTCTGAACTAGAGGAAAAAGCTACACAGCAGGACGGCTTCCTGACAGTTTATATTCTCCGTGCAGTTATGTGCTGGGTTGTCTAACGGGCCTCTTTGCACAGTCTGCACCGGGGGTCTTGTCTGGTGTGGTAGATCTGGGCCTCTTGCTCTGGTACTTGGGGCCTGCTCCTGTTCAGCCATCATAGGTGCCTCTCTGCTGTCCTTCAGTCTGTCTTTGTCTAGCCATTGGCAGAATTTCCTTATATCTGCCACAGTTATGTTCTGGTGGTACATCCTGTGTAGGGGCTTATCCTCCTATGACGGAGTCTCTTGCACCTCATCTTGTTCCCCATTTTCTGATGCACTCAATCAGGATGTCATCTGTTGAAGCCTTGTCCATGATGTATTTATGGATGTTGGATGTTTCATCCTGGATATTGGCTCTTACGCTCATTAGTCCTCGGCCTTCTTCCTTACGGTTCGGCATACAGTCTCAGGGTACTGGATTTGGGGTGGTACCCTCTGTGCATGGTTAGGAGCTTTTGTGTCTTAACATCTGTGGCCTGTACCTCCTCCTTTGGCCAGTTTATTATTCCTGCAGGGTTTCTGACTACTGGTAGAGCGTAGCTATTTTTTGCCCGAGAATTCTTGCCATTGAGCTTAGGACGTGCCTTACTCGTTGGAGGTATTTGGCCATAGGCGGTTTCCCTGTTACCAGTTCGAGGTTGCCATTTGCTTGTGGGATTCCAAGGTACTTGTAGCTGTCTTCAATGTCTGCTATTGTTCCTTCTGGGAGGAACTGGGAAGACCCCTCTGTGTAGACCACCTTCCCTCTTAGTTACAATCTGACCACATTTCTCTAGTCTGAATTGCATCCCGATTTATTTGCTGAAGATCCAGGTTCTATGGATCAGTGAGTTTCTCGCGCAGGCGAGGATTTTGTTCCGAAAAGAAATGCTTCATCCATCATATGGAACTGGTTTGGCTTCACTTCTGACGAAAAAGAACAAAAAAACATTACATGCAAAATCTGCAAGGAAAGTGTCAAGGCAAGTGACGGCAACACAACAACCTGTTTAATCATCTGAAACGAAGGTGTCCTAAACAGTATAACGAGAGCCAGGTGGCTAAAGCTGAAAAGCCGACTGCAGCTTCAGCAGCAGTGACCGGTCCTTCTCCCAAGCAGCAAACGTTAACAGATTTGTTTACAAAACTTACTCCCTACGATAAAGGCAGTAAACGGTGGAACAGTGTGACAGAAGCGATGACGTTTGACTTGGTGAAAGATTTATGTCCTCTACGAACCGTAGGAGTGGGATTTAGTAAAATGTTAAACGTTTTTGATCCACGTTACAAGTTGCCCAGCGGCAAGTATTTTTCAAATAGTGCTATTCCACGCATGTACGCTGAATGCAGAGAGAAAGTTTCACAAAATATTAAAAATGTGCAGTTCTTTGCCACCAGAAGCGACCTCTGGTCCAGCCGCACGTCAGAGCCGTATTTGAGCTTAACCATACATACAGTTCCATAATAGTTTTTGTTTCTAAAGACTTTAGAAATTATACAAATCTATTGTTTAATGTAATATTTTTTTTAAACTCGAGTTAATTTCTGTGTGCTTTCTTTTTTCTTTTCCTTTATTAGACCAGTCAAGATTTTAAAGTAATAAAACTGCACTAAGATACAGTTAGAATTTTTATTTATTTTGACTGTAGTTTCTTGAAAAATGTAACTATTTTGTAATTGTGTTTTTCAGGAGTTATTGCATTTTTATACTATTTGGTGTGTTTACAATATAGAAATGAAAAAAATAAGTTTGTTAGCACTGCTTTGATTCTCTAATTTTAATGAACTTGTTCATTTATTTAATTTTTCTCTTTTTTGCATGTAATTGAAGTTATGTTGGTCATATCTAAAAAAAATCGTGATAAAATGGAGCTCACAATAATATAATAAAAAAAATCATGATATTTTAGTTCTGCCATATTGCCCAGCCCTAATGGAGACTTGTGCAAGTATCTTGCCACTGGTTTAAACACCTCTGACCTGGGTTTCTAGTTCCTCCTTGCTAGAATAGTGCTTTTGTATGTTGTTAATTTCAAGTTGTGAAAGTAGTTGTCATTTACAGATGTTAGAACATTGAGTTACTAGTTGTACAGCTGTGATTGTAGACTGATTGTATCAAAGTCTCCATTTCTCCCACATCCTTTGCATATGGCCTCTCTGTTTGGGCTTACTTAGGTAGTAACATTGCAATAGATCCCTGTCACATCTCGTCCATTTTCCTTCATGTTGTTCCAGAAGCCCATTGGACATCAAGGTGCTTTGGTTCCCCAAGACTGACCTTGTTTGGCCGGGCAATGTCTGAGCTGGCATGTCATTCATTATATTGTCTCTCATCATTGTATAAGGTAGGCATTAGCGTGAAGGATCTTGTCTAAGGACCCACATGGACATCTCCTCACGAACCTGGGCCTACCGTGTGCAAGCCGGGTGACTTGCCTCTTGAGCAATCCATCCGCCAATAGGCAGTAACGCAAAAGGTCCAGTAAGGACCCACACTGGCAGCTGATGTTATTTTTCTCCTCTCCAGCAGGTCCGAACCCGGACCTCCCATGAGCAAGTCAGACGACTTGTCTTTTGAACCCATATATATATATATATATATATATATATATATATATATATATAACATACACAATACAAAGCAATGATATGTGCTCAAGAAAAAGATGGAGCTTTCAAGTCTATCATGTGATTCCCCCCTCTATCGTTTCCTTGCAATTAGGGCTGTCAAAGTTACTGTAAAGGATTTGGATTTGGTCTGCAGTGTGGCTTTTTTTAAACTCTGCCTCCTGTCCAACTCTCCTACTTGAGGCATTTCAACTAGCTGTGCACAACCCTTCAAGTGGAATGCACAGGTGATCTGTAGTCTGAAGAAGGTTTGCAGAAGGGAGAGAAAGTGGGTCGAGAGAAAAGGCATTCAGTATGCATACTACTTTTTAGCACACAACAAATATTCTAGATGGGCAAACTGACTATAACCATTATATTTTCAATTTTGTAGAATTCTCCAAATTCCCACAGTAACATTGTTGCATGGAGATTTTGGTCAAAAAAGAAGAATATCTGACTTTCAAAGTAGAAAAGTTGTTTCAAGTCTTATCATGCTTTAAATTTCCACTAATAAAACTGTTTGATATTCTTACAGATTATCAAGACAGTTTTCGCTAGGATCGGCATTGGAGGTAACCCTTGGCCACCAGGTAATATTTTTGAATAAATCCTTTTTATTTTATGTCTTGTCTAAAGCATACATTTTCATGAATAAATTTAAATGTAAATGGACACATCTCTTTAAGCAAAAGGGGAATGGAACAAAATAAAAGGGATGGAATTATGCCGTTTGGCTACTACATCATGAAGGGGTTGCAACAGAAACTCATAACCTGCTTGTCAGACTTAGTACCGGGCAACCTTCCTGCCTCAACTGGGATTTAAACCTGTGTCCCAACCATGGCATTCAAAGACTTAAATCTCTACACCCATATTATCACCCTTTTTAAATAAAAATTGGAAAGAAATTGGAAAAGTGCTTGTGGAAGAGTGATTAATGCACATGCTTCTGCACTTTTTTGGAATGGGTCTGCAATGTAGCTTTTTTTCCCTTGCCAGGAACCTTGCATGTTGCTAATGTTTACAAGCTGCTATTCACCATTTCGCCATTAGCAGCAGCTCATTCATGTAACTAACTCCCCTGTCCCATCCTCTAGCTAAACTTGTGTTTGGGTAGTAATGCATTTGGATAAGCTTCAAAAGTAATCTCATAATTGTAGTCAGCGTTATTGCTGATGTTGCTATGAAATTCAGTTTGGCAAGTTTATTTGTGGTCTGAAAACAAAAGTACCCACCCGCAGATGATGATTGCCAGAAATCTACCACTACAACAGAGAACTTTTAGCCCTTCAGTACAAAACACATGATTTTATTCCTTTTCTGACAACAAACATCTCACTCATCTGTAATTATTTAATTTGCAGTTTCGTTTGACGCTGTCGCTTGCCAAACTGCAACCTGACAGTAAAGGGCTGGTTATACTCCCTCAGCAGTATGTCGCAGTGAGCTTGTTGCAGGTGTGAAACAGAGATTTTTGATTTATACTCAATACTGAAGTATGGACTAAGCTATATTATTCCCCTCCACAACACAAAAGGGGAAAATCACAAACTAGCTGTGGGGCTACATACGGCCTAGGCAGTAGGGCGGGGCGATAATTCAATAACGATATATATCGATCGATAGACGTGTGGCGCAAAAGAAAAAAAGAGGGTCGATAAAAGTTTG